CAAATGTCCCCTGTGGCTTGGAAATGCTGCCACAGTTTGGAGGTTTGGCTTCATGCCTCCAGTTCTTTTGGAAAAGAACAGGAAGCTAAAAATAACCATGTGTACTTTTCCAGGCAGAAATGCCTAGTTTTTGTGAGCCAGCCATGTGCTTGCGTGGAGGCGGCTGCAGTGAGGCAACTGCCTGTGAATTTATGGCTCTGTGGAGCTGCTCAGAGTGTTAGCAGAGAGACTCCCAGGCCAGCACTGGGGTGAGTGCCCAACCCTCCTCTACAGCACAGAGCCTGACCTTCCCAAATTGCTGCTCTGCTCCTTTGCTGAACACACACCCGTGAATACTGACTGGCCTCTGCCTCTGGCTGCCTCCCCCCAGGCAGTGACTTGCTGGTTTTCATGGAGCTGCAGGAAGAGTTACAGGAATTAGGTGCTGTTGCGTATTTCTGCAGTTTCTGCTTGTAAAACCTGAATAAAAACCTGGTTTGGCTTCTAAATTTAGCAGCAATGCAGGCACAGCTCTGAAGAGATTTCTCTGAGCTAATTATCCTGTTCGGTAAAGCATCTCCTGCATTGTCTAAGCAGATGAAAATATCTGTGTTACAGATGGTTCCTTCCATTCATTATTCACTAAGGAGATTAAGCTTCCAAGAGAGAGGAGGAACAGGCTGGGGGTGGGGACACTGATGGGAAGAGGCTGAGTGTGTCCCTGTAGCTGTCGCTGAATGGACACATCACCAATCATGGACCATGTTCTACTGGTTCAGCTGCTGTTGCCCTTGGCCAGGGATTGAGTTTCCTTACCAGTTCCTGTTTCACGCTAAAAATTACTCTAAACCACAGAGCTGTCTTTGGATTTTGGGGGGAATTTTTTTGGATTTCCTGTGTCAGTGATGGGGAAGGACCTACTTTGCTCCTTTTAGGGTGTAATGCATTGATCACTGCCCCCAGGTACAGTGGGTGAAGCTAATCATGGGTCAACTCTGTGCTCTGTTTGAGGGTAGAAGATCCAGGAATCTCTGCCTTGCTTCCAGAGGGGAAAATAGCCAATTTTCTCCCATCCACAGCTGACCATGTGGTTATTTCAGTACTCCAGTGTTTTTCCTGGAGAGATTTTCCCCTCAACCCTTGGCTGAGCATGAGCTGGGGAAGCAGTGCCATACAAGAATAGCTGTGTTTGAGCAGGACTGTGGTTCATTTGAATTGATAAATGGCTCCAGCTAGCACAAATGTTCAGCCTCCACATGTGATATCAGGTTAAAAAGTGGAGGTTTGGGTTATAACTGCTTCTGACCACACAGGCAGGACAAACACACAGGGAAACTGGACCCAAATGAAGCCTAACAGCCATTTGGGTTAGATTTCAAGACCTTTATATGAAGCTTAGCATTTCAAAATCATTTCATGTTAGGCTGGTTCTTTGTTCCCTTGCAGACTGTGACTTTAGGATCAGCCTTCCTGGTTCTTCAAATGGATTTCTTTCATCTGTTAGTATATGAAACCCGTGGAGAGGTTAGGAACCGGTGGTGTGGAGGATGAGATGGAGAAACTGACTTGCAAAAGGTGTTGTAGAATAAATCCAGTTACCTGTCATGTGGGTTTGCTTCAACTGTGCCTTGGTTAGTCAACCGTGAAACTGTTCACTACAAGAACAGATAGACTTTGAGACTAAATTATCTCTTAAAATTAATCTAGAAATGATCTCCACTCACATACAGAACTCTAGAAAAACTGTTACCAAATATGAGGTGAGAAAAACTCTTCTTAGAACTGTTTTGATTGAACTTCTAGTTTAGCTTTTGACAATACCCAGTAGGATGGTATTGAGTTGGATCTTTAAGGTCAGACTCCCAACACAGCCTTTGTTTTGACTTCAGTCTCTAACACTTAAGGCTGTTGACAAACTTCTTCACCCCTTGCCCAAAAAACCTCAGTGTTCACTTTTCTCAGCCTTCTTGTGTAGCAGCAGGGCATTTGGCCTTCTGATTTTTGCTCTCCTCTTATCTTCCTCCCCCAACCCTCCTTCTGCCTGACTTGTGGCGCAGCAAACCAGCCCGTGGATTCCTCCCTCATTTCCAAAGCATCACTGAGCAAACATTAATCTGTGGAGGAGTTTTGTGTTAACCTTGGTGTGGTTTAATCAGAAAGGTTCTGCATAAGTCACTGAAGGCTTAATTGTATTTATTTTCAAATAAGGCCTTTATGTTACTTCATTTCCAACTTAAAAGTGTTAGAAGCAGTCAAGACATACTTAGCCCCAGAGAAAATGAGCTGCTTGTGTGTTCAGGGCAGCAAGAGCCTGAACTCAGAGTTTGCAGCGGGAGCTGTGCCTGATCTGTGCTCAGCTCCCTGTGCTGTGGGAGGTGACTGAGCCAGCAGGGCCTAGGAGGCATTTGCTGATCAGCTCTGGTGTGTGTGCCAGCACTGCTGGTTGTCCCATGGAGGACAGACTTCATGGGACATCAGTGATGCCCAGACAGCCTTTCCCTGTCCTCCATGCAGGAGAACAGCTGAGGGTGGGAGCAAGGAGGGATGAACTTCTGGGACCTGAGGAATGAGCTCTCAGCTCTGCCTGCTTCATCTCTTGTTTTTCCCAAAGATTTCAGTTGGCCTTAATTGTAGTGGGATGGGGGACTTGGTACAGCATGTTTGTCCCTCTCCAAGGGAAAAGGGGTGTGAAGCAGAAAGGAACAATGTTAACTTCTCTGTGTGTTTTTGTGTTCTTTGTCTTTTCTTTAAGCTGGAAAGAGGTGACTTCCTCTCAGAAGAATGGAGAGAGAGAATTGCAAACACAAGGTACAGTACAGCACTTGAATGCTGCTTTATGAACTGGATATTTGGGAGTTTGTATAATGGAAATTGGGAGCCTGGCCAGGTTTTTATATAGGATTTCCATTGCAAATACCAGAAGTCTATCTGCCAACTCTTACACTGGCCTCTCTGGATCCTTTTTTCTGACTAGAAGAATGGCTTTAAATGCATGTCCCATGATACTATATCCAAGGGCGTATCCAAGATAAATTCTGGTTACACAGAGATATCTTTATAGCTCATGTCAGGGATTCAGGCAAAACACCAATTATCTTGGCTATTGGGACTCACAGCTAGGCTCACTTTCCCTTTAATAGAAAGCTAGTGACCCAAGTGAGTGTATTCCAACTTAAACTGGGAATTCATTTAAGCTAATTGTCTTGAGGATTAATTTCTGTGAGGGTCAGGCTCCTTTTTGAGGGAGCAAAAAGGGAGTCAGTTTATTAAAAGCAGTGAAAGTCATCTGTATTTTTAAAGCTTTGCATTCTTTCAGCCTTTTGGACAGGGGAAAAAAAACCCTTTTTATTTTATACAACCTTTTGGGCCACCCTGTTCTGTGGAGGAGTGGAAGGCAGTTGTCAAAGAGGGCTCTGAAAGTTGTGGCAATTTCTGAGTTGTTTCCAAGACACTGGTTGAAGATGAGGCCATGGAGGAGGTGTCTGCCAGGCTGGTGACTTCTGTCTTATTGTGTGCCTCAGCTACTTCTGGAGGTGCCTTTTAATTTGTGGACAGCTTCGTCCCAGCCCTGCAGCACAGTGGGATTTGACTTTGTGGCTGTTATCCCAAGTGCTCCAACTCCTTTGCTGCCTGGGCAGCTTTCCTTGGAACAAAGATAAAAATTTTAGCTGAAGGACCTCTTACTGCCTGCAGAAGTGCTGGAGATGTTTGTTCTGTGTGGCATGGCATTAGTAGCTGTGTCTCAGTGCTACTCTGCAGCCTCCTTGCTTGAGTGCAGCATCCTAGAATGGTTTGGGTTGGAAAGGACATTAAAACTCATCCAGTTTCACCCCCTGCCATGGGCAGGAACACCTTCCAGCAGCTCAGGTTGCTCCAACCTGGCCTGGAACACTTCCCGGGATGGGGCAGCAGCCACAGCTACTCTGGGCAACCTGCGTTCCCCATGGCTGGGTGCTGACATGTAATGAGCCTTCTGGCACATGTATTCCAGTGAATCTCTGGACCTGTGGCTTGGCAAAACCTGCTGAAATGAGGTCTGGGATGAAGGTGGACCCAGGGCCTCCTGTGCTCCAGCATGTGCACACAAAATACCGTGCCAGAATGAACACTATAAAAACATACGTCTGGCAAGCTCTGGCTTTTTCCCTTCCTTCCCTGGACATTTTCTAGGCCTATTAGTATGTTTGGCTCTTTTGCAAGGCCTCTCTTCTGGCACAGGGGAAGGAGGAGGAAGAACCTTCTGCTAGCCTGACTTGCCAGGCAGGGTTTCCCAAATTTCCAAGTGCAAGGCGTAGTAGGAATCAATTCTTTTCCCTTGGTGTAGAAACCTTTTTTTATTTGTGGTTTTTAATAGCTTTGGCTGCAGCTCTTCAGCTCAGTGTCCTTGTCCAACACATTTCATGTGTGGAGGCATTGGGAAGGGAGTTTTCCAGCAGAGCTCTCCCAAAGAAATCACTTCATGTGGATATAATATGCCAGAATGGCTTTTGCACCTCATAGAATCCTGGAATCTCCTGAGCTGGAAGGGACCCCCAAGCGTCATCAGTCCAACTCCTGTCCTGCACAGAACACTCCCAGCAGTCCCACCCTGTGCCTGAGAGCATTGGCCAAATGCTTCTGGAGCTCTGTCAGCCTTGAGGCTCTGACCACTGCCCTGGGGAGCTGTTCAGTGCCCAAACATCCTCGGTGGGGAAGAACCTTTCCCAATATCCATCCCAACCCCTTGACAAGTTCATGCATGTGAGGTGCTCCATGTCTCCCGAGAGATGCTGGGGACTCTTGTTGCAGGCTGGTAGGAACCAGGCACCAGTGACAGTCAGACCAGACCCAGACTCTTTAAAATAAAGGAGTATTTCTTAATCTGTGACAAGTTCTCTTTCTTTCTCAAACATTTTGATCATTTGTGGGATTCTGCTTCTGTGCAGGTTTCTGTGTTTTCATAGGACTATCTTTTCAGGAACAAAATCTCCTCATTGGATTTCCTAACTCAGAAAGAAAGAATCAGAAAGAATCAGCTGCTCCATTGTGGGTCAGGGCGAAATGCTGGGTTTAGGACAGGGAAAACATGCTGAGATGTTACTGTCTTATGGCATTACAGGGAAGGTAGAGCTAGAAGAGCAGTAGGTTCCTCACACTAGTTGTGGCTGCTCCATCCCTGGGAGTGTTGGATGGGGCTTGGAGCAACCTGGTCTAGTGGAAGGTGTCCCATGGCAGGGGGTGGGTCTGGATGAGCTTTAAGGTCCTTCCAACCCAACCCATTCTATGATTCTAAAATATCTGGATATTTTACTGTAACATTTTAAATGCAGATGAAGATACAACAGGATGAAAAGGTGTCTGTTGTGCTGAGCATTGCTCTTTCTGTGTGCAGTACCTCCTGTATGTTGGGGGTTGCTGTGTTGGTGTTGGATCTCACCATGGCAGAGGGTGAAAACATTCTGCACATTCTTTTTATGTCAAAACTCGCAGTCCATCACTCAGCTCTATGCTGAGAGGCACTGACAGAGCAGGACACCTCTAAACTTTGTTAAATGTAATTGCCTGGTGTGCCAGGGTTAAACTATGATACCTGAGTAGTGTCTGAATGCTAAAGGTGAGGGACTGGTATGTCACTGTGCAGAGGAAAGTGTTTAGTTAGCTGGAAGTAGCTTTACAGCTGGGGACAAACAGTGTTTGTCAGTGTCATGAGTGGCTGTGGGGGTGGTTGTGATGTGTCCTTGGCTCCCTGATCGTTAACTTGACCATTTTCTTGCAGCGTTATCTTTGTGAATAACTTTGCCTTTGGGCCTGAGGTGGATCACCAGCTGAAGGAGAGATTTGCAAACATGAAGGAAGGTAACAAATCCAACTGGAAATGTTTTTATCTTGGTTTCCTTCCTCCTGTGGGAGCTGTTGATGGTGAGGGGGCTCAGAGCCAATCTGGTGGGTTCTGCTCTGTGCCTTGGGGCTGAGTGTCTGCACCATGGTGGTTGTTTCTTGTCCTTTCTACTTCCCACTTTAATATCTCCTCAGAGCTACCTGCCTACTGGGAGGTAGCTCTGCTGGTCCTTCCTTACCTCTTAGGGGAGCCAACAGAACATGCAACAGCCAAGGCCAAAATTTCCTGGTTTCCTGGAAGTGTTCCAGGCCAGGTTGGACAGGGCTTGGAGCAACTTGGTCTAATGGAACATGGCCTTGCCCGTGGCAGGGGGTTGGAATGAGGTGGTCTTTAAGGTCCTTCTAACCCAACTGATTCCATGATTCCTGGCTGCAGAGGGGTGGCTTTGGATAGCCAGTGTTTGTAATTCCACGTGGAATTCACTTACTGGTTTCTTCTGCTTAAAGCTCTCACGTTGAGTACTGGGGATTAGCTAGGAAGTATTAAGATGGTGGAGTGCATCCAAGCAACATGTGGATGTGGCACTTGGGGACATGATTTAGTGGTGAACGTGATGCTGAGTTGATGGTTGGATTTGATGATCCTAAAGATCTTTTCCAATCTTAACAATTCCATGTTTCTATGAAAGTGGGTGCACTGTCACTGGGTGCCTCGTGCTCCGTGGGAAGCCACACTGCAGACACCAGAGACACCCACTAACCCCACCATGGCCCTTATGTTGCCTGAGGTATCTTTTATTTGCTCTTAACCACTTGGCTAAGTAAAACTTTATTTGGTTGTAGCAGAAATTACAAAAATAACTCTTTCTGAGGAGAAAAATGTGTGGTGTGAACAGAGCAGCTGTGGTTTCCTGGAGCTCAGCTTTGTGCTGAAATAAATGATGTGACTTTTGGGCTCTGTTGCAAACCATAAACCCTATACTTCAGCTCTTTTCTTTAATTTCAGTGGTTTATATATATACTTTTAACTTGTTTAATGGTGGCTTGAGAGCAGTGCCAAGGTGGGGATGGTTCAAGCAATCTTTGTAGTGGAGAAACCATATTTCTTTTCTCAGAATGTTCTCAGGCTCTGCCTTGGGCTGAGTGACCCCAAATACCTGTGAAATGGAGATTAGTGTCCTTTAAAGAAAAAGGCTTTGGGGGGTTGTGTGTAAAAGATCCAACTAGGAAGGAGATAATTGAAATTTCTTGAGTTTGCCGTTGAGAATTCATGTGCCCTTTTTTATTCCAAGTGTTTTAAATCTGTCATTTCAAAGTGATACTTGAGGTGTCACCTAGCAGGAACCGTAGATTGGCTTTATGGAGGTGTCAGAGTGAGAACTGAGTAATTTGCCTTTTTTAATGCTATATGAGTGATAGTTCCATTAGTGCTGTTCTTTGGGGGCTCTGTACTGGTTATATTTAATAGTTATTTCCAGAACAAACAGTGGAACTGACTTTGCTTTTGTTTTCTTTTTCCAGGTGGGAGAATTGTGTCATCAAAACCTTTTGCACCTCTAAATTTTAGAATTAACAGTCGAAACTTGAGTGGTATGATTGCCCTTTTTATTGTTCGTTACACTTGGGGGGTGTTCAGCATGTCTCTAGGGGGGTTTTGTGTCTCTTTCGAGTTGTGTAAAGAAGTAGCAAATGCTGTTGGATTATTAGAGTGACATGTATTTAAAATCAGTCTGAGGCCTCATGCAACACTGAAACAAACAGACACTTTCTCTGGGGATTCTGCTGCTGTGTTTGATGTCTGTAACATGAATGTGGCCCTGGCTGGGCAACTTGTACAGCTGAAGAGAAATCAGGTGTTTTAAGGGTGTGATTAATTTCTTTAGCCACAAAGAACATCAGGGACTCACATGCATTGAAGTTTCTTACACTGTAGCTGTTTGAACCTGGACAGGTAAATCCTACCAGTCATGATTCCTAAGGCTGAGAAGATACACTGACAGGCTAGGAGAGCTGGGGGTGTTGAGCTCGGGGAAGAGAAGCTCCAGGGACACCTTAGAGCTCCTTCCAGTGCCCAAAGGGGCTCCAAGAGAGCTGCAGAGGGACTTGGGACAAGGGGCTGGAGGGACAGGACACAGGGAATGGCTTTCCACTGCCAGAGGGCAGGGATAGATGGGATACTGGGAAAGAATTTTTCCCTAGGAGGGTGCTGGGGCACTGGCACAGGTTGCCCAGAGCAGCTGTGGCTGCTCCATCCCTGGGAGTGTTCAAAGCCAGGTTGGACAGGGCTTGGAGCACCCTGGGCTGGTGGGATGTGTCCCTGCCCATAGCAGGGGGTGGGACTGGATGATTTTTAAGGTCCCTTCAATCCTAACCAGTTTGGGATTTTGTGAAATGTTCAACTTTGAACTCCTTCTGTGCTGTGCACTGATCAAACAAACCTCTCCTGTAAACACCCTGAGCTATGTCTGCTCTATTGCCAACAAAGTTTTCTGTTGTTGAAATTGGGCTGTGCTGTGCAGGGTCAGGATTTGGACTCAGTGATCCTTGTGGGCCCTTCCAGCTCATGATATTCTGTTTTTCTGTTACTGATCCAAGCTGGTTTTTGCACATATTTACTGTGGCAAGTGCAAAATAAATGTTCCATAAATGTAAAAACACTTAATTCCCTCCTTGTGCCAACATGGCAAGTGACTCCCTGTGTTCCAGATCTCAAGCTGTATTGTTTGGTTTTCACCTGGCACTCATAAACTGCTTTTCAAGAACAGTAATTTGCAGACTGTCATGAAGTAAATTGTGCCATTGGGAATTATTTTTGCCAAGCTGGAATTGTTGTGGATTTACCGTGCATGAAACACCTAAACCTGCCCTTTTCCTCCCTGTTTGAAACTTGTTCCTGGGGCATGATAAGGTTTGGAGGCTTATTAGCCATTGGGTCCTGGTTTGCCAATCCTTTGGAGAGATGAACTTGAAAATAAAAGGGAAAAAAGGTGGAATGGTTCTCCTGAAAATCCTCAAACCTTGCGAGAGCTGGGATCAGGCTGTCGGTTTGGTAATGAGATAAAGAGCTCCTGAGTAATGCTTAGTCCCCCTTGCACCAGAGCTGGCTCTTGGGAGTCTTCAGTTAGATTTGCCCATGGAAAAACAATTTTTGGCCTCTCAGGCATTTTCTTTCCTGATTTCTAATGGAAGAAGGACATGGAACTGTTGGAGCAAGTCAGAGGAAGCCATGAAGTTGCTAAGAGGATTCGAGCATCCCCCACAAGGGCAGGCTGAGGGAGCTGAGGCTGTTCAGTCTGGTGAAGAGAAGGCTGTGTGGAGACCTCAGAGCAGCATGCCAGGAGCTGAAGGGCCTGCAGGGAAGCTGCAGAGGGACTCTTGTGTAAGGAACTGCAGGGATAGGACGAGGAGAAATGGGGATAAATTCAAAGAGGGAAATTTAGATTAGATATGAAGAAGATGTTTTTTCCTGTGGAGGTGGTGAGGCACTGGCAGAGGTCCATTCCAGCCCCTAAAATCCTATGATCCTGTGATCATTCTGCCTGTTCCTGATTTCTGCTGCCCTCTGGGAGACTGAGGCGTGGAGACCTCAGCATGCCAGGAGCTGAAGGGCCTGCAGGGAAGCTGCAGAGGGACTCTTGTGTAAGGAACTGCAGGGATAGGACGAGGAGAAATGGGGATAAATTCAAAGAGGGAAATTTAGATTAGATATGAAGAAGATGTTTTTTCCTGTGGAGGTGGTGAGGCACTGGCAGAGGTCCATTCCAGCCCCTAAAATCCTATGATCCTGTGATATGCCAGGAGCTGAAGGGCCTGCAGGGAAGCTGCAGAGGGACTCTTGTGTAAGGAACTGCAGGGATAGGACGAGGAGAAATGGGGATAAATTCAAAGAGGGAAATTTAGATTAGATATGAAGAAGATGTTTTTTCCTGTGGAGGTGGTGAGGCACTGGCAGAGGTCCATTCCAGCCCCTAAAATCCTATGATCCTGTGATCATTCTGCCTGTTCCTGATTTCTGCTGCCCTCTGGGAGACTGAGGCCAATGCGTGCTGCTTCTTCCACCGCATGACAGCCCTGACTGTGACTGTCACTTGAACCAGATCTTCATCCCATTTCAGCTTTCCTCCCAGTGGGTTCATTTAGAATGTTTTCTAGTATGCTGAAGTTTTAGATATCAGCTGTTATTTAGTGCTGCATGGGAATGTGGTTGTTAATTGGGCTTTGGATGAGTGAGATGGACTAGCACAAGGATAGGCAATAGCTTCCACTAGTGAAAAACTTTCAGGGATTTGGATAAGAGGACTTGAAAATAAATTATCTTTGTATGCTACAAACAGGGAAAATTTAGGAATCCATCTGAAGTCATAATCCCATTCTGGGACCATACTGAGAAACACCAAGTCAAATGAACATGTCTGGGATGTGCTTGGCCTGGGGCTTGTTCCAGTGTTAATGATCTGTTCTAAGTGATAATTCCAGGGAAATGTTGTTATCATCTGTGGCCAGGACTCTGCCCATGCAGAGGAGGGAATGGCACAGCTCTGCTGGCTTTATACTGCTGTTTTTTGGGTTTTTTTTTTGTAATAAAAAGTTAAAAAATGTACAAAATTATTTGGATACATTGGAAGACATTGGAAAAGATAAAGCTTTAAGAAGCAAACAAACACCATTTCCCTCAATACCAGTTTTGTCCTGAGCAGTTCCATCTGAAAGGAGGAATGGAAATGTGCAAAGAGTTGGGACGAAGGAAAACAAGTATTAAAATGTGGTTAAAATAGTGGTTGAGGCTGGTGAATCCTAACCCTTTGCTGTTGGCCTCTTCTGGGTAATTTCAGTTTAATGAGAAGCATGCCAGAATTCCTCCTGCAGCCCTGCACTTGCTCAGTGCTTATGGGAATATTTAGGGCACATCCCACAGCTATTAATGCTAGAGAACGAAACAGATAGAGACAAGAAAGCAAAGACAAAACATGTTTGTCCCCAGTCCAAATATGATTACAGCTTACAGGGGCTGAACTGGTGTTCTGTGAGTGGTTCTGTCTCAGTCAGCCCTGGCTGTCACATGGATGTGTTGTCCTGAGTTGCTCACAAACCTTGTCTGAGAAACAGACAGTTCTGTTTGCTGAAAGCTTGCACTAGTTTGTAATTTTCTCTCTGGGCTGGCTGCCTGGCTCTGAAGAGGTGGAAGGTACATCTTCCAAATGTTTAGGTTTTCTCCACGGTGCACGTAGCGAGAGAGTAAGAGATTCCTTCTAGACTCACTGCAGTGCTTTTCTCTAGGCCCTGGTTTATCTTTGCTGGTGCCTGACTGGTTTCAGCTGAGCAGAGCTGAGCCAGCAGTTCCCTGACCTGCCGTTCTCCCTGCAGATATTGGCACTATAATGAGAGTTGTGGAGCTGTCCCCACTGAAAGGCTCTGTGTCCTGGACCGGGAAGCCAGTCTCCTACTACCTACACACCATCGACCGAACCATAGTGAGTACACCCGGCCCAGGCACCTCTGGCTGCTTGCTGTGCCTGCAGGCAGCAGAGCAGCTTCAGCTCCTTCTGCTTGGGAGTTTTCATATTCCCTGGGAGTTGTTTTCATATTCCTGGGCAGATTTACAGGCCTGGAGCACACTAAATGGAAAGGCTGTGCTTCAGCAGTTCCCTGGGCAGTGTACCTGAGTGTGCAAACCATACTGCATGGCTTGGGCTGCCTCCGTGCAGTGTGTTACACACACCCTGCAGTGAAGAACGGTGGGCACAGATTCACACGTGTAATTCCTTCTGCAGCTCTTCAGAATTGTGGTCTCATGCTGTAACTTCCACACTGAATGAAGACTCTGGTATCTCCTACAATGGCTGCAGGGAGAGGTCGAGAGGAAATGGCCATCAGATGAGACAGGGGAGATTCAGATGTTAAGAAAAATTGTTTCACTGTTAGGGTGTTCAGGCACTGGATTATTGCCCAGGGAGGTGGTGCAGTCACCATCCCTGGAGATGTTTAAGAGGTGTCTGGCTCTGGCTCTGGAGGACGTGGTTTAGGGGTTGCAGCAGTGACAGGTTAGTTGTTGGACTTGGTGGTCTTAGGGGTCTCTTCCAACCTTGATGATTCTATGATTTCGTCAGTTTGCTTTGTGCTGTACAGACACGTGATGGATTTCATTCCATCATATTCAACCAGTAAATCTCAATTTTAGTTGAACTCTCAGTTGCTGTAGGACCAGCCCAAGCTCCATAACAATGTTGATGCATTCACTGAGTTAACCAACCCTATAGAAATCTAAACTTTTGTGGAGAAATAGTTAATTCCACACTAAATGTTTTGCAATATGATAGTTGAGTACTTTTCTTAGTCTGCTCTAGTCTAATAATGCTTTTGCTAAAGGATATGCCAGAGTGCAGATAAATCATGGAGTACAAGAGTGCAGCAGCTTCAGCAAAAATAACTTCATTGAGAATAACCCTCTGCTGAGGGGAGATATGTGGCACAAAGCTTTCAAACAAGGCCAGGCAGTGATGGAGATGATAAAACCTTGTAGAGGTTGGATTATGTCCTGTTACACAGCAGGCTGAAAAGAATGAATGTGAAGAGCTTCTTGCTGTAGCTTATCAGAAGCAAAACAGTCAGAGGTTCTGCAGTTCTGCATTTGTTTTAAGCTAATATTGTATTCTTACATTTTGTTTTTATTCATCAGTTGTGGCTTTGAAAATTACTCTCTTCTCTTTCTCTTTTCAGCTTGAAAACTATTTTTCTAGTCTCAAAAATCCAAAACTCAGGGTAAGTTTCAGTCGTTTCCTGTAGAAAACTCAAACTAATGGAGCAACAAATGTACAGAATTGATAAGAAATCGGATTTCCTCCATAACCAAGGACCATGGATGGAGCTAATTGAAGTGAAACAGCAGATGCCATCAAGCACTAATACAATCATGTTCAAGAGCTTCTTAATAGAGAATTAATGAGGCACCCTCAAGGTGCTTTCACCTTGCACTGAAGGTCTACAAAGAGCTATTTCTTCATTAAAACTGGAGTGCAAGATGGAAATGGTAGTTTGAATTTGTCCCAGGCTTCAGCTGCCTGAAATGAAGCTCTGAGATGTTCCTTTTGAGATCTGTCATTTGAGACACAGTATGAGTTGTCATTTGCTGCAGTCTGGGGTGTTACATGTGGAGTTCAAATGCCAGAGGATTTGGGAGGCTGAGCTAGGCTGTGTTCATCTGAAATAACCCCTGGGACTGGGATTCACAGGAGGAGAATGAAGCAAGGCCACTTTAGCTAAAGCTTCAGGGGAATGTTCATCTTCAGGCTGAGTGCTGAGAAGAGACGCATGGTAGCTCTGAGTGTGGGTTATTGCAAGCTGCTTGATTCAAGTTTTGGGGGAAAAAAGACTTCTTGGAGACAAAAAAAAAACCTCAGGGTGGCATCTGTGTACTTAGGACCTTCCCTACTTTGAATGGTGAGGCTACTTCAACCTGCCATTTCTGTGGTCTGTTTGATCATGTGCTTGAATCAGAGATGTTGGAATTGCCTGAATGCTGCGAATTAAATCTCACCTGGAAGGTACAGAAAGGCTTTGGGGGAACTCTTGGAAATTTCCTGTCCTTGCTGCCTAAGAAGAAAATCAGCCTCAAAAGTTGCTGCTTTTGTTTTCATTAATCTCCTTGAGAAACTTGGCTAAAGTTGAATGAGATGATGATTAAGGGCTTTGCCATTTCTTGTTGTGTGTAAGTCTTAAATGTGGCAACACATGATATGGTAAAGCTATTGAAATATTAATAATAATTTTTAAAATGCCAAAAAAAGCCCAAACCCACACGAAATCTGATACAGCAGTGTGTCATCTGAAGGATGGGAGAGGAGAATAAGGGAAGAGATTGGGACTTGATCCCCTTTGCCCTATGGCTACATGTTTGGAGACAGTGCAAATTGCTGTAGGCAATGCAGTGCAAAGGTGACTCGCACTCACCTGCCTTTTCCCTGCAAGTGTTCCCTGAGCGAGGGTAAGCGTTTCCCGTTTTCTTAGGGAAGACTAAGGTGGGAAACACAATTATCTATATTAAAAAGTGATAAATATATGAGCAAAGTATTAAATCTTCTCAACCTTTCCCCCAGGAGGAACAAGAGGCAGCTAGACGTCGTCAACAAAGAGAAAACAAGAGCAACACAACTACTCCGACTAAGGTTCAAGAAAACAAGGTGAACGTGCTGCATTTTTGTAGAGTGAATGTTTTCTCCTTGGCTGTCCATGAGCTCATAATCTGTGTCAGTGTGCTGGTTTGAAAGCAAACCAGTGAGAGACTCCAAGTCAGAAGTACAATTTAATAGGAAAACCAAAACAAAACAACAAATGTAACAGTACAAAAAGAAACCACTGACAGAGTCAGAAAGTGACCTGGCACCCTGTCAGTCAGGGTGTTGGCAGTAGTCCAATGAAATGGTGGCTGCATCCTCCTGGAGTGATGGGTCTGTTGAGGGCAGTGATCCCGCAGATGTGCTCCTCTCCCGAAGGTGCAGCGGCAGCTCTTGTCCTCTGGGAATCCAGCAGGCAAAGGGCATCTGTGCTGCTCCAAACCCAGCTTATATCCCTGTGGGAATGCTTGGCTCCCCCCATGGGGTGAAGCATCTGACAATAGGACGATGTAACACTCTGCATGCATTGGGTCCCTGACAGCCCATTGAACAGAGACAGCCCCTGAGGGAGCCATGAGGGACTAGAGAGAACCATCACTGCCCCTACCTGCTTTAACAGCTTGTGGAGAGGAGAATAGAATACATACCACGGGTTACCCCCACACTGCAGCCCAGGACAGTCTGTGAAAGGCTCATTCTGTTGGAAGACTGATGGGGTTTGCTCTGGACATGTAAGATGGTAGAGCTATTGCTGCAGACAAAAATATGATGGAGTGACTTAATAAAAGCTGCATTTGGGATTTGCAGCACTAATTCTGGGGGAAAAAAAAGGTGTTGCAAGATGAATAGTTGGTTGTCCACCCTCACATCCAGCAGTAGCTTGCAGAGCTCTCCCTGAGTCATAACCCACTGAATGGAGTTCAGAGTGTGCTGAGTCTCTTTTGCAGACTCATTTCCTTTCTCATTCCATTGTGTAATACTGTTAGTAATGCAGTGGCTGTTCCTGCCCAAAAATATAAAGTATTTGAATGTACTTTGACTTTTAAATGAAATCCATTTGAAGAGTACAGACAGCAAAGGATGAATAATCAGTTTTTCTTAGCAACAGGTGCAGATTTAATAGAATCACAGAAGAGTTTGAGTTGGAAGGACCTTAAAGTTCATCTCGTTCCACCCCCTGCCATGGGCAGGGACATTAGCCCACATTGCTCCAAGCCCTATCCAACCTGGCCTGGAACACTTCCAGGGATGGGGCAGTCCCAGCTGCTCTGGGCAGCCTGTGCCAGTGCCTCACCACCCTTTCAGGGAGGAACTCCTTCACAAAATCCCATCTAACCCTGCATGAGCTTCCCCTCTGCCAGCGTTTTCTTTTGTGTAATGACTAAGTCCAGAAGAAAATGAGTACAAGTCCTTGGGAACAGCTCTTATCCCCAGCAAGTGTACTTCACTGCCAAGTTCTGTATCTCCAGTGCAACAGTTTCCTTTCATACAATCCTTAAACACAGTTTTTGCTGCCTGGAACTCTGTATATGCAGGTAGAAATTACTAAAGAGCTTTTGTCTTTTCCAAATCTCTCAGGATTCTGGTGCTGAAGAAGAAAAAGCTGCAGCAAATTCTGTTAAAAAGCCATCTCCCTCCAAGGCAAGGAAGAAGAAGCTGAGTAAGAAAGGAAGGAAAATGGCAGGCAGGAAACGAGGGCGTCCCAAGAAGATGAACACTGCAAGTACTGAGCGCAAGACCAAGAAGAACCAAACTGCATTAGAACTTCTGCATGCCCAAACTGTCTCCCAGACATCTTCATCCTCTCCTCAGGGTGAGTGCAGGGAGCAGGGGAAGAAGCCACATGAACCTGGAGAAGTGTGAGGCTCTGTGTGTGCTTGGAGGTTCTTCCTTTATTGCAGGTCGTGTTTGGTTTTGTACCATAACTTCCCCCTTGACACCAGAGCAAAACTGCTCTGGGGATGGTGGTGGGATGTGTCTGTGGGTACTGGGCCAGAAGCTGGGCCAGAGCTGTGGCTGGTGGCTTCTCTCTGCTGCCCCTGTTCTCAGAATAAACTGGAGAGATCCTTCACAACAGTTTGTTTATGGACTAAGCTGCTGGATCCTGCGCTGTAATTGACATGTTTACAGTGGTGAAGTTGCTGTGTTCTTGCCCCAAACATTGACTTGCAGGATCTGAGGTTGTCTTTGTGTCTCTCCCTAGATGCCTACAAGTCACCTCATAGCCCATATTACCAACTACCTCCTAAAGTGCAACGGCATTCGTCAAACCAGCTGCTGGTGACACCCACCCCACCTGCACTACAGAAGCTGCTAGGTAAGGCTGATTTATTACCATGTTTGTAATGGGAACCTCTGCTTTGAGGTTTCTGAGCACAGAGTCAACCAAAGGGTGGCTAATAGCCACATGGAGAGCTGTGCATTGAGCAGGAGGGGAGCTGCTTCCCCATCTTCCCCTCCCTGCCCCATGTCTGTTGGGATCACCAAAAAGTCCTTTCACCTGCTGCTGAAGTTGGTGTCCTGCTCTGCATTTGTTCTTGGACATTGTTTTAGCACAAAAGGAAATAAGCTTGGGTTCAGTGGGAATGCAAACTAAATGGAAATGGCTAGTCAGGAATAACTTTGTTTTAAATGAAACCAATGGTGCGATCTTAGGGAGCATCACTCCATTTCCTCTGCTAAACTCAGAGCTAAGTGAATGAGGTGTTGTCTGAGATTCTGAAGTCACAAAAGTGTGGCTGGAAAATATGTTCCATGTGCAAGAGGTGATTTAAGGAAATACTTGTTTGGAATGTGGTTATTTGGGTCTTCTGGTGTCTGTGCCCTCTCAGCTGCTTCTGGCCTTTGGCACGGGGCGTGAGCCAGTCTAGGATTCTCTGGGAATCTAATGGAATGTTCCTGTCTGTGTAGAGACCAAGGGCATCTGTGGTGTTCTTAGCTTGTGCTCTCTTGCTCCGGTGTTTTAGCTGTGACTGATTTCTTCTGTAGAGAAAGAGGAGTCATTTAGGGGGACGTTTCCTGGCGGGGTGGGGGAGATGTCCTTTGTCTGTACTAAGCCTTGCTGCAGGAGTCTGCACACCATCTGTGGCATGTTTGGGCTGCCTGTGAGTGCAGCAGACTGGCCTTAGTCCTGGGGTTGGCTTTAATGATGAAAGGGCTGAGGAGAAGGAAGGTTCATTGCATAATAGGAGACTGGAGATAAAGGATAATGAGGAGCCAAGTGCTCCTTGGACGGGAGAATAAATTTGGTGTAGAGCTTGTCATCTGTGTGGAGCGAGGAGGAGGAGGAGGACAGTAAGCTCTGTGTGTGGTGCTGGGAGGATGAGGGCTCTGAGCTCATGGTTCGGCTTTTACAGCTCATCTCTTTTATTAGTTCTACTTACAGAGCACTGAAACCTGCTCAGCTCCTCTTTCCTCAAGCAAACATACCATTAGCTCCCAGCAACCTCCTCTGCCTGCTTGAATGTGTTTCATGGCTTCCACTGGGTTCCTGTTACAAGGAGCTGATGAATCCAGGAATTCCCCTTGCACCAGGACATGGATTTTCAGCATGTTCTAAACCCATCTTTAATGGCTTGGTCTGACTTACAGTCCAAATCAAAAGCAAGAGAGAGCAAAGGGGGGAGAGGTGTCGAGGAAGCAAGTAGGGGTAAAAAGGAGCATTGCACTTACTCTCAGTTGTATTCGTCATCTCCCGATTTACTTTGCAGACTCTTTCAAGATCCAGTACCTGCAGTTCATGGCATACATGAAAACTCCTCAGTACAAAGCAAGTCTACAACAGTTACTAGAGCAGGAAAAGGTAAGTGTCATTTTTAGCATTTCTAAACTCATTTGCTACATTTCCAGATACATTAGATGTGGGGAAGAATGCTGGAAATGGAAATTGTGTGCACTTACACCACTGCTGCACCAGGCCAACGATAAAGTCTCTACCAGAGTCATGCTTAGGCTGAATGGCTGCCCAGGGGGTTTATTGCAAAGTGAGTCACTCTGTGTGTGCTTAAATCTGAAAACTGGGAGAGAAGCACCTCCCCTCTTCCCTCTGTGCCCTTCACATGATATGTCTGACTTGGGATCATAAAGTCGCTAAAGCTCATTCAGTTCACCCCCTGCTATGGGCAGGGACACCTTCCACTATACCAGGTTGCTCCAAGCCCCATCCCTGGGAGGTGCTGAGGCACTGGCACAAATTGCCCAGAGCAGCTGTGGCTGCCCCATCCCTGGAAGTGTCCAAGGCCAGGCTGGACAGGGCTCGGAGCAACCTGGGCTAGTGGGAGGTGTCCCTGCCCATGTCAGGGCTGGAATGAGATGGACTTTAAGGTCCCTTCTGACTCAAACTATCCCATGATTCTATGATGCATAGGAGTAAGAACCTCAAACTGTCTCCACTAACTGAAGGGACTTAATGCAGCAGCCTTGGCATTCATAATCAGAATGTGTTAGATTGCACTGGTGAGCAAAGTGTAAAGTTGCCAAGTCAGGGGCTGGAATACATGGAAAGGCAAGGAAAATCCTGGAGCTGTGCAGTGGGTGTTTCTCTGCCATGGAGCCACCAGCAGAGGGAGAAGATTTTCTGCCTTCTTTATTATTACATTGCTTTATCTCAATTATGAATAATTTAACTGCTTTATAAATTAGCCCTGATGAGAGGGACTGTGCCTGCTACTTCTGTGGAGGAATCTTTCCCCATAATGCTCAACAATAAACTTTTAACTTCCAGTTAAAACTTTCCAGAACCTAAAGAGGCCTTACAAAATGTCTGGAGAGGGATTTTGAACAAGGACCTGTAGTGCCATGACAAGGGGGAATGGCTTCCCCCTGCCAGAGGGCAGGGATCGATGGGATATTGGGAAGGAATTCTTCCCTGTGAGGTGCTGAGGCACTGGCACAGGTTGCCCAGAGCAGCTGTGGCTGCTCCATCCCTGGAAGTGTTCAAAGCCAGGCTGGACAGGGCTTGGAGCAACCTGGGCTAGTGGAAGGTGTCCCTGCCCATGGCAGGGAGTGGAGCAAGATGGGCTTTAAGGCCCTGCCAACCCAAATCATTCTGGGATTCTCTCCAATTTCAGCTTTTGGTGGTCCCTGTGGAAGCTTTCCGTTGTTCCATGGCCTTTGGGAGAGTGTCAGCATAGAGCCCTAGGGCTGTTTCATGGAGTTTCCTTAATGGGAACTCTTTTTCCAGATGAGAGAGATTAACTTGTGCCACCCAGTTCCTTACTGAGAATCGGTTGGTGTTGTGGTGGTGTTTGTGCAAACCTCTTTTCCTGTGGTTGTTTCCATTTGGTTTCATAGTCAATGTGCACTTGGAATTTTCACCTTTTTCCTTAAGCACCAGATTTTTCTGCTTGTTCTGTACTTGTCAGGAAAGTTAGCGTGAAGTGAGCTTGTCTTCTTGCACAAGTGAAATGCTGGTATGCAAGTATTGTGCCCTACACTGAGAGCATAAATTGAGTATGGAAAACTAATCACTTGGTGTTGGTGTCCAACATCTGCTCCATACTTTTAAACATTAAAATGAGGAATTCACTATGAAGGTATCTTTGATAAAATGTTACATGGAGACCATGGCAAATTGAACCTCACCGAGGCAGAGCTTGGCTGGGTGAGGGGCTGAGTATGGTCTGTTCAGTAGCTCCATCCTGCAGGAACGTTTTCAAGTACAAGCAAAATGTGTCTGTAGTAAGGATTTTAGAATAAGCAAGGTGCTGTGAGCTGCTGGTTCTTAGATTGCCCTTAGATGGAGCTCCACTGCCTGCAAGGGCTCAGTGAAGTGCCTGATACTGAAAACGTAAGTGATTTTTCAGCATCACCCACGGCAGTCCCTGTGGCACTGCAGGGACTCAACTCTTGTCCCAAGCCCTTGGCATGAGAGGCAACAAGAGCTGTGTGCCAGCACTGCTGCTTCCCTGTTTGGAAGATCAATCTCAGAGTCACAGAATCATTAAGGTTGGGAAAGATCAAGGTGCTTTTTGCCCTCGTTCTCCATTTTTCTGGTGCAATGGCTCATTCTCTGTACAATTCTTATTTGGCCTCAGCAGCAGAAGTTGGAGAACATTGTGATCTCCTGATCTTTCTTTCCTTGCTGCACTTATCCTTCAACTGGGGCTGGATAAATGAGGCTCTTGAGCCAGTCCTGTCCTGCCCTTTGCTGCTCACATAGTGCATAGCCATGGCATGAGTGAGCAGGTATCTGGCTAAGGAATGTTCTGGGTAGGAAATGTGCTGTCAGTGACTGGGGTTGGCTGCTGAAGTTATTTTGGCATGAGTAGTAAAAGTGGTTTGGCTTGTTTCTTAATTTCTTCCTACGTCCCCTGCCCCCCAGTGTATTTTCATTTACTGCATTTCTTCCATGAGTATTGCACAGGAAAATTCTGACTTGAGGGTTTAGATTCAGTTCCCAGTTTGGTAACAGATTTCATACAGGTAATCTTCCCCAGTTCTATTTCTGCTCTGAAGGATGTGATTATTGCTGCTTCTTCACAATGCACTGGGAGGATAAAAATGAGGTTTTAAGGCTGGCTTGATTGTATTTTAGCATATACCAGGAAAAAACCTAAAAAGCTCATTTCAGCTGTTCTGACTTCACCTTACAGGCTCACAGGAGCCTGAGAGAGAGCTAGGTGAGCTCATGCATCTTCCTCTGAGCTCAGGTTCAGTCCCAACATGCTACACAAACCAGATGTAAACATCTTAAGATGGACCGTGCTGCAGTTGGTACTAAAGGTATATTTTCTCTCTCTTCCCTCTTGCAGGAGAAGAATGCTCAGCTCCTGGGGACAGCACAGCAGTTATTCACTCACTGCCAGGCACAGAAAGAGGAAATCAAACGTCTGTTTCAGCAGAAGCTTGATGAGGTAGCCCTGATGTGATGGGACTGGGTGCTTGTTTGTCAGCTGTATGCAAACACTTCTGGTCAAACTAAGACCAGGACAGTGTCAGGTCTTCAGCCTCTGTTTTGCAGCAGGTCAGGCTCAGTAATGTGAAATTTGTATCAGTCTGGTCATTTTTTATCTTCGATGTTGGAGTTGTTTCATGCCAGTCTGCCCAAAGGAAGGGGGAACAGACCACACACATGTGGTGTTGAGTAAGATTCATCCCCTGCTGCCTGAACAAATTATGTTGCCCTTGTAAGCTCAGAAGCACAGGAGGAGATGTGGGGGCTCTCCAGAAAAGAGGTTCTTCTGGCTGACAGGAATCCAAATGTCACTTTTAAAACTGAATGGCTGAAACAGCAGCTCCAAGGTACTTTTGTCCTTCCTTGTTATCCCCTAGCAGTGCCAAAGTGCCTTGAAGAACTCTGGGCAAGTTCCTAAGAGCTGCATAAGTTCTGCAGATCTCCTCAGTATTACTTTGGAATGTGACAGGAATATGGAATTAGAGTGTCAAGACCTATTGACTGATCTCTTTCCTTCTAACTCTTCACCTTGTAGTTGGGAGTTAAAGCTCTGACATACAATGACCTGATCCAAGCTCAGAAGGAAATCTCTGCTCACAACCAGCAGCTGAAAGAACAGACAAAGCAGCTAGAGAAGGATAACAGTGAACTCAGGAACCAGAGTTTACAGCTGGTGAGTGCAGCCTGTAGGTCTGAGCACCAGAGTGGTGCTGCCCTTTGTGTAGGGACAGGCCATGAGCTGAGGTCTGAAAAATCATCTAGCTGCTCTGGAACAGAGAAGAATGATGGGGGAAAGAATGCAGGGAGTCCTTCTTTTGGTGACTATTTACCTCTAAGCAAATGCTGAAGTGGCAGTTGGCTCTGCCTCAGCTGTGTCCCTGAAACAGCTCTGCACCTCTCCATGCACTTGTCACTGAATGTGAATCTGTCTGCCAAGGAATTTGTGCAGTTCTTGCTCGGTGGTGGCCATAACCAGTGTAGTGTTCATCTTGGTGACTCGAACTGTTACAGAGCCATGGAATTGTTAAGGTTGGAAAATACCTTCAGGTCATCAAGTGATGATCAGTGTGAAAGTTGTCTTTTGATCTGTTTGTCCCATGTCTCTGCAGCTTAAGGCTCGGTGTGAGGAGCTGAAGCTGGATTGGTCAACATTGTCACTGGAGAACTTGCTGAAGGAGAAGCAGGCCTTGAAGAATCAGATTTCTGAGAAGCAAAAGCACTGTTTGGAACTGCAGGTAGAGAGCAAGAAACAGATGCAGAGTCACCAAGTTGAGGTAGCTCTTGGCCAGTTATGGGTGTTACACTAAATCAGGTGGTAAAGGCTAAGCCACGTGGCTGCTTTCCACCTCCAGTGATTATTAGAGGGTTTCAGTTAACTTGAAGAACTTGAACAATAAGGATGTGGATAACTTTTAGAGGAAGTAGATACCATACCTTGATTCCTTGGTTAATGGAATGTGGAAGAAGGAGTCATGGTTTACCATTACATAGAATTAAAAATCACAGCCTGATGAAAAGGAAAGGTCCTGATTGTTTGCAGGAATCATAGAAGCATAGAATGGTTTGGGTTGGAACGACCTTAAAGCTCATCTCCTTCCACCCCTTGCCATGGGCCAGGTTGCTCCAAGCCCTGTCCAACCTGGCCTGGAGCACTTCCAGGGATGGGTTGAGAATCAGTTCCCACAGAATGACACTTACCATAGTGAAAAGAATTTCAGCTCCATTGTGTGAAGAACATTTCTTTCCCCGTGAGATCAGCTCTAGAGCTATTCCAGCTTTTCTGGATGCCTTGACATGGAGTGACTGTCCTTTCAATGACTGACACTATTAAGTTTCTCTCTATGTAAGCTGGAGATGTTTTGTTTGGTTTTAAAATCTGAAGAGCTCTTTCTCAGAGTCTCTGAGTCATTCCCCTTACCTGTGCCTTTTGGTCTTGAGCTCAGAGACCGAAAGATCATGTTGAAATTTGTTTCTCGGATTCTGGATCCCTTGTTCTGCATTTCTCTCAGAAATAGAGACGCTTTTCCTGAGAAAAACTCCATCATGTGATAGAATTAAGTGTGGTCTTTAATCCTCATTCTCCTCTTCATTTACAGATCAGCATTGTGGAGCTTGAGAAGAGCCAGAGGCAGCAGGAGCTACTGCAGCTGAAGTCATACACGCCGTCGGAGGAGTCCCTGTCAGTACAGCTACACAACAAAACCCATCTGAGCCGTGACCCTGAGGCTGATCACGGCAGGTTCCAGCTGGAGCTGGAGTGCTCCAAGTTTCCCATGCCCCACATGAATGGCATGAGCCCAGAGCTGTCCATGAATGGCCACGCCACTCCCTACGAAATCCACAACGCCTTCAGCCGGCCCTCGTCCAAGCAGCACACCCCCCAGTACCCCTCTTCCCACCTGGACCAAGACATAGTGCCCTGTACCCCCAGCCACAGCAGCAGGCAGAAGGCAGACAAGGTGACCAGCTTGTCCCTCCCTGATTACACCAGGTTTTCCCCAGCTAAAATAGCACTAAGGAGACACTTGAATCAAGACCACGGAGTGAACGGAAAAGCAACGAGTCATGAGATACAGAGGTGAGAGTGATGAGAAAGGAGGGATAAAACCAGAGTTAATAAGTGTTATTTGGATTTAATAACTGTGGAAAAAATCTTTTCACAGTGGAGGTTTATATATTCTAAAAGGTTTTGTTTCTAGAAAACAGACTCTGCTGGAGTGGGTGAGGTGGGACTGCCTTGAGTTCGGTACAGGAATTCCTTGTGGAAGGGAAATAATTTCCTTTTTTATCCTAATGATTGTACATCTCTGTTCCAGAGCTGAGCATGTCAAAGAGAATGGCCTTACATATCCAAGCCCTGGAATTGCAAATGGCATAAAGCTGAGTCCTCAGGAAACTCGGCCCTCCTCCCCTGCAGCCTTACCCAGTGCAGGCGAGAAGGTAAGGGATCTGTTCCTGCTCAGGGGCAGAGCTGCTGCTCCTGATAGAACAAAGGAAAGGTTGGCCACACTAGGGAATACTGGAATGCTGCATTCTGTGGTCAGCTTGGCAGGGGAAGTGACACCAAATCCAGTAGATGTGCTGCAATAGAACAGAGCTGGCTAGAGGAATAGAGCACTGGGCTCGTGGAAGACCTGCTTACTTACCCTGAGGTCCTGATTTGCACATGACCTGCACCAGTAATGCAGTGGGACTTTTTGATCTGGCAGCTGTCTGCTTGCACTTGGAAAGTAGAGTCTTTCAGAGTTAGGAAAACAAAAATTAACAACAAAATGGTCCATGTAATGGTTCCAGCTATGGATCATATCTGGGCTCATTGCAGAGCAGCAGGTGCCTCCAGTAGCAGATTACCATGGAAATGCATCTGGCTACTGCAGAGAGCCTCAAGATATGAATCCTGTAGCTGAGTGCTTTTCACAGAGCTCTAGCAAAAACACTGGGAAATGAGCTTGCCTAAGACATCCTTTTCCTGATGCTTGGAGCCAGCAGTGGCTGTAATGACATATTTCTGTGCTATTGGGTATTGCTGTTCCAAGAGCCTGGTGCAACCAAGCTGCTCCATGCCTACCCTGTCTGTGCTGTGCAGTCAGTGCTCTTCTTCCTGTAATTTTTTAAAAAGGAGGTGGGGAATGACCCAAAGATAGAAATGAGCAGGTTCTCATTAGCTTAAAAAACCTTTTCAGCAGTAGGATTTGTAAGAACATGATTTTCTCTTTTGATTTACAGGTTTTGAGAGAGAGAACCTCTGTGAGTAATGGAGAAACTATCACCAGCCTTCCTATCAGTATTCCTCTGAGCACAGTGCAGCCCAATAAACTCCCTGTTAGTATCCCTCTGGCCAGCGTAGTCCTACCTAGCCGTGTTGAGAAGGTGGTGAGTAAGGGATTGTCAACACTTTCCATCCCTAACTAAAATCACACTGGGCAGGAGTTGGGGTGCTGTGCCCCAGGATCCTTAGTGGGCTGCTAATCCTGGATGTCTGATCCTTGGGGGAGGCTGCTGGGGGATGAATCCTCTTGGCTCTTAATTTCTGTAGATTTTTCCTCTCCTGTGGTTGTGGGCTGGGGGGATTTCAGCCAGGAAGGAAAGTAAATGCCTCAGGAGATCCTAGTCTTGAATGTCTGTGTGGAAAAGCCCGAGAGTTCGTGGCAGTGGAAGCAGAGAATTGTGTGTGTCAGTTTGTTCTTAGCCTTCATGCATGACCCCTGAGGGCAAATCCTTCTGCCTCAGTCAGTCACCTCAAAGCTGTTTGCCCCCATCAGACGTGTAGGATAAGCTTGAACAGCATCTTGTGGCTGTGACACCTGACATATGCGTGAGTGCTTTGTCAGGCAAGGGCAATTGGAGGACTCCTGGGGCCATGTTTTTCTTGAAATACTGACAAGCCTCTCAGTGGAAGAGGAGTTTATAATCACCTGGTCTAGTTTGTCATGCCAGTTTTTCACGGAAGCATTTGCTGCTTTCACTGAGAGCCATGAGATCAGAATCCATCCACAGATGCTTGCCTTAAAATCCCATATTGGGAAAGCTGGAGTTAGTTCACAGGGTTGAATCCATCAGGTTTTTCCAGCTGAAGGATTCTAATTGTAGCAGAACTCCAGTATGCCCAGCTCTGAGCAGAAGCTGCATGTCTGCAGAGCGAGAGGATGTCAGCCCTGGGTGGCACCTCTCGCTCCAACAGTGTTTGTTCAGGCTACCATTTCCCAGGTGTTTCTCTGCTTTAGGAAAACACCCTCAGAGAGTGTCCCAGAGAACACAGCCTGATGCACTTCAGGTTCACTTCGGGGTTATTCTGGTGAGCTCTGTGTGCTCAGGCCTGGGGACATGAGACAACCATTAGTTTCCTCCTGCTGCCTGTGGAGCAGTGGGCCGAGCCATTCCTACTCTCATGGCAAAGCCTGTAAATATTCTGGGGTGATGAGCCTGCTCTCCCTTGCTCCATGGTGTCTGCTGTGTGCTAGATATTACTGCAGTATAATTCATTGCAAGATTTTTGTCCCATTCCATGCTGATCCATGTTTTTTCTCAAAACAAGCTAAATTTAGAACATTTAGGAAGCAGAGCCACTTCCCCTGGTAGATCTCCTAATGCATGTGAATTCTGTTTAAACTATTGACTTTTGGTTCTATTTGCTGTACTGATGTGCCTGTTTCTCTCCCCCAGAGAAGCACACCTAGCCCAGTTCATCAGAGTAGAGACTCTTCGACACTTGAAAAGCAGATTGGTGCTAGTTCTCATAATGGCATAAGCAATGCTGCTGGAAACAAGCCTCTGGCTTTGGCTACCTCAGGTAACAGCCTCACCAGTTGTGTCCTCGCAGCACCCCCGAGTTCTCCCAGCACTTCTGTCAGCTCCTGCAGACACTGGAGTGCTGGATACCTGTGTTTGTACTGAGACTAAAAACTCATGGATGATGCTCTGAGACAGGATGTGCCTCCAGCTTGGATGCACCACAAAGGGTTGGGTTGATGTGGCTTTACCTGAGCTGCCTCATAGTGTAAATAAATAATTGCTGTGGTAAATTCCATGTCGGTCCAGAGAGTTCCACTTTTACAGTGTGGCAAATCTGCAGAGTATTGCATAGCTGTGCTCTGAGTCGATCTGGCTCTGAAAGCTTTATTTTCCAGGGTGGTGTGGTTTCAATAGCAAAGTGAAATTCTTGGTGCAGGTTACAGTGATGCCTCATGAGCAGTTGTAAAGGCACAAGTACCTGGGTAGGAAAAGGTCAAGCAGGAGAGGACTGGGATACCTACAGGTGCTACATTGCTTCTGAACTCATCTGTGGAAATTGGGACCTTTAGCGACTGGGGGAATGGGAATGTTGTGGGCCAGGAAAGTGATTCTGCAGCTGATCCCTCACTAGTGAGTGCTTTGTTCTCAGTGTTTACCACCCTGAGGGGCTTGGGTGGTTTTAGCATCTGTTTTGCAAAGGGCTTGGCTGCAGCTTTCTGTAAAATCAATGAAGTATTAAAAACCCCCCTGATTGTAAACCATTACCATGTTCCTTCTACCCCTTTCACTGGGAGAGCCCAGAGCCCAGGCCTTACTGGAGCACTAAACCAATTTATGATGCCAAAAGACAAATAATTAATTCCCTTTCCAAGCTTCCTCCCATGTGGCATTCTTCTGCCACGATACCTTTGAAGATCCCTGTCACGTCCTAAGACTTGTGTTTGATTTTGAGGGGGTGGGCTGTGTGGATGACAAAGTCCTTCTATTTTGGGGAAGGACGGAACTGAGTTTGGCCACCTGTTTCCTTGATGCAAGGCAGGAGTTGAGGTTAGAGGAGCCCTGATTCCGAAAGGTGTAATAGTTACAAAATTACACTCGAATTCCATTTAAAGCTGGGAAGAGTGTAGGATACCTCCATACAACGCATGAATTTTCCTGAAGTGGCAAGAGAGCAGTGCGAGCCCCTAAGCCCAAGCTGACGTCCTCAGCTCCCAGAGCCATGTTCCCACTGCCCTGTGGAAAAGCAGCCGTGCGGTTTCCATGGAACCCGCGGCCCCTGGCTGATGTCCTGCAGGTAGAGCTGGAATCCCTCCCAGCCCTGTAGCACGGTGACCTCTCACTCAGCCCCAGCAATGATCTATACTTTCCCTCTCAACAGGTTTTTCTTACTCTTCTGGCTCCGTGGCAGTCAATGGAAATCTTACAAACAGCCCAGCCCATCTTAACCATAGTGTTGATCAGGCAGCTCTGGACGACTCCGGGAGTCTCTTTAACTCTGTAGGGTCTCGGAGTTCCACTCCACAACATCCTTTGCTAATGATGCAGTCGAGGAACTCTGGGCAGAACTCCCCTGCTCAGCCGCACTCAGCGAGCCCCAGGTTAAATGGCACGGCCCAGAGCCTGGTGGGGGGATTGCAGTATGCAGATGCTCAGAAGATGTTTGCCGAAGGATCCAAGGGGGATCTTCAGTCTGATGCAGCGTTTTCAGATCCTGAGAACGAGGCCAAGAGAAGAATCATCTTTACAATCTCTCCTAATACAGGACATGTAAAACAATCCCCTTCCAACAAGCACAGTCCTCTGCCCGCGAGCGCTCGGCTGGACTGCGGCCAAGCCCACGCACAGGATGGGAAGAAGCGAGGCCGGAGGAAGAGATCCTCAGCCGGGAATCTCAGCGGGAACTCCGGGGTCTCCCCGAAGCGCAAATCCCTCCCGACTGTCTCTGGGCTCTTTACGCAGCCGTCGGGGTCACCGCTCAATATCAACTCCATGGTAAGGGCAAATGGCAGGAGCTCTGGCAAGGGATGAGGGTTTGGGAAGGCTTCTGGAGTTGGGAATAAGCTTCTGCTGTTCTGCTCTCCAGTATGTTCCCAGGCAGGAGCTCGCACACTGCTTGAATTGGCATGAGTCTCTTTGTGAGAGGGAAAGGCAAGAGAATTGCTGCAGTTCTATAGAATATATATGTATTGTATATGTAAAAAACCCGATAAAAATTTTGTATAGGTATTATATATATGTATATAATAAATATTAAT